AAGATCCTTTTCCTCATTACTCCATGGCAGAAATAGCATCAGCTGCTCTCTGTAATAATTTTCAGGATCTTGATGTAGCTTAAAGTTTCTGAATCTTATTATTTTTTTCTTTGTTCTTTTTTTAATCCACCCTTTTCCATTTTTCATCTTTAGAGCAACACTTTTTTCATCAATTTCATTGTCAATGATATCTTCATCATCAGAATTTTCCGTAATCTGAACGTTGTTTGTTTGTTTTTTTGATACATTATACAATGAAGCAAAATCAGCCAAACAGATATTTTTCATTTCTTCAGGCCTATTTATATACATATCAATTAAGCCTTGAACAAAAACATCTTTTGAATCAGGCTCCAGTTTCTGAAGAACTTCATCTGATTTGACCATAGAAATTCTGTTTTCGGGTCTATTCGTATTAATAAATACAGTACTTCTGCTGCTGGTTGAAAGTGGAATACTTAATATATGATAGACAGCTTCTTGTGCTGAAATTTCACTTGAATTCAAAAATTTATTTGCAATAACTCTAAGACGTTCTCTGACTGTATTATTGCCTTTTTTTAGCTCATTCAATGCTTCTCTTAGAAGTTTAGACATTCCATTTTCAGATTTGCTAATGTAGTCAATACAATACATTGAGCATGCATAAGGATCAAGAATGAACTGAATGTCCATATTTGCTTTGTGCAATGACATTATCATTGGATTGTATGCATTGATTCTGATTTCATTTGGAGCACGTTTCAAGAATACTTTCGCTTTTTTTAATCCAGCTCGAATCATTTTAATATATTCTTCTTCATTCATATCGATATGTTTCAAGAATTCATCAAAAGTTAATGAATTATCTGTATCTTTTGATATTTTGTCAAGTTCTTGAACTACATTTCGTCTTTTTTTACTTATCTCTTCACGTTCTTTCTTAGTTAACTTTTCATCGTCACTGAATGGCTCTAAAATCATCGTTTTTCTCATTGGAAAATATGGAATACCAAAGCGACATTCAATGCCATCCTTTACGTTTTTTTTACAGGTATGTGAGTGCTTATGACGTTGCAAACATATAAGGTCTTCGGAAAATTCCGTTGGCTTACAATTAACCGAAATCAGTTTATCAATAAACTCTGTACATCTTTCAATTGATTCAGGTTTATCTTTGTCGTATTTCGGAGCATTTTTTAACCATAATAGAGCATGAACATGTGGTGAACCACGGACTTGGAATTCAACTCTGACATATTTATCTTCTAATTCATAGCCTTGAAATGGACCACAAGGTGCCGATAATATCTCCCATAAACATTTTAATCTATGTTCAAAATAACGAACGCATGTTACAGGATCATTTCTTATCAAATCACATTTCTTTTCATAGCTCATATTTTCTGCCTCCTCTAATGTTATTACTTTATTTTCCAACACTTGAGTTAATATTACAATTAGTTCCGACCACTTTGTTTCTGCTGCTGATAATGTTAAAAATAGTGTTGGACATCCTAACTGTCGGATCATCGCCATAACTTCCTTTTTCTTTAGTTCCCAAAATGCTGGTGAAGATCGATCACATCTTAAGAATGTAAAAGCATCATCATTATGTATTAATCCATTTACATAATCTCGATTGAGCATCTGTGTAGCAGTTATGTTTTTCGTATTTTTTGTTTTTCTCAAATTTATTGAAATAGCATCGGAGAACTTTCTCGTTTGTAGTTTCTTATATGTGAAAAACAATTTCGATATTCTACCACATCTTCGATCAAACATTCTTAATTCTGACTTGGCAATCTTAGCATAAGTTAATTTAACATTCGTTTTGATTTTTCTTTGCTTGCCACAATAAATTTTCGGAAATGTTAATTCATCGACTTTTAAATCCATTAAAATCGATATCGGCCTGTTATTCTCTCCTGGAGCAAATTTGATACCAATATCATTCTGATCACCAATCTCGTCATTTAATAATGTTTCAGTAGTACTAGGATTCACTGGTTTATCGTCACATTCATTCCATTTGTCCTCGTCATCAAAATCTTTGCTGATGTTTTCATTTTCATCGAATTTCTTATCTTCATCATCGATGATAAAATTCTCTCTCTCGTTAGAATATTCTTTCAGCCAATCATGAGATATCACAATTTCTTCATCTTTATACAGCTCTTGCTCAACCAAATATTTTACAGCAGTATGCACAACTTTTGGTCGAATTGTTTCATACATAAAAGCATTTTTATTTTTCATTTGTCTCATGAGTTTCAATTGAATCGTGTGAGTATCACTGAAACTTCTAGGCAATACTGAAACATTCGTATCAACATTCATGGGAACATTTACAAGGTTACCCTTGAGACCGAATTGTTTACAAGAGCCTAAACTTCGAATTACCATAAAAGGAATTCTTGGCGATATTAATCTTTCTTCTAATTCAGTCAAGATTTTCAAACAATCCGGTACTTCATGGAATGCTAAACCATTAGATAGACTGAGATTAGGTACCTTATTCGACATGATGTCCTTTCTGCAAGTGACACATAATTTAATGATTGTATTTTTTAGATAACAAACTGTATGGATAAATTCTTTTTTTAATCCTTTGTTTGTTAACATCTCAACTGTAAATTCTCTGATTGAATACTCAAACCATAAGCCACCACAACAGCTACAAATATGAGTAGGTCCTTCTTTTATTTTTGACTCATAATTTGATTTCATGCCATCAAAACTACTTTTGTAATTATCTCTACTATTGTGCATTCTTAGTGCATTTCTTCTTCTTTCTTCTTCTTTGAATTCATCGTCCTGTCGTGCAATTTTCAAAGCTTCGGCTCTTCTTTTGTTTTCTTCTGTTTTGAATCCATCATCTTGTCGCTCAATTTTATGAGCTTCGGCTCTTCTTTTATTGTCTTCTGTTTTGAATTTATCATCTTGTCGTGCAATTTTCAGAGCTTCGGCTCTTCTTTTATTTTCTTCTGTTTTGAATCCATCATCTTGTCGTGCAATTTTCAGAGCTTCGGCTCTTCTTTTATTTTCTTCTGTTTTGAATTCATCATCTTGTCGCTCAATTTTATGAGCTTCGGCTCTTCTTTTATTTTCTTCTGTTTTGAATTCATCATCTAGTCGCTCAATTTTATGATCTTCGGCTCTTCTTTTATTTTCTTCTGTTTTGAATTCATCATCTTGTCGTGCAATTTTCAGAGCTTCGGCTCTTCTTTTATT